GGGGAGGGGCACGGAGCTGGCCCTCGCCCGACGTGGGGCGTCCCTGGGGCCCCCCCACCCCGACGAGGTCGGACAGAGGCGCTGCCTTTTTCGCAGGGGGGGTGGCAGAAACGCCACTTTCATAAGGAAAGCCGGGGGGGGGCTCTGTGCTGGGGGGCTCTTGTCCCCGCGCCCGCTCGGGGTGTTGCTCCGCGGCTGCGGTTTGGCGGGGAGGGGGACACGGGGGCACCCTCTCACCCTGCGGAACCTTCCCCTTGCAGCCTGCCGATGTTCACCGTCCTGCGGAGGTTTTCCATCCTGTTTACGATGTTTGCCGAGGGGCTTTTGCTCAAGTGAGTCTCCCCAGCCCCTCCTCTGCAGGGCTCCCGGGGACAGATACCGGTCGGAGTGACAGAAGCCCCGAAGGTGCCGGGGCGGCGTCGCGGCGTGTCAGTGAGCTGCCGTGGGCGCCTGTGGCCCGGGGGTTTTGCCGTGGAACTGGGTTTGGGGCGCGAGGGTGGGCAGAGGAAGCGGAGAGGCGAGCAGCAGCGTGGCCTTTGCTCCCCGCAGCCCCTCTCCCGCCCGCGGGGAAGGTGGACGTGCCCCGTCTCCGCTCTCTGGGCAGCATGGAGCCGTGCCCGGCCGCTCCCCTCTGCCAGGGCACCCCAAAACCACACACCGGGTGCCCGCGGCCCCTCCCGGGGCCTGGGCTGCTCCCCGTGCCCGGCTGAACCTTCTCTGCCATAGGCAGGGTTGTAAACTTGTACCTCGTCCTTGCCAAGTTTTTGGGTTTTATTCTTTTTTTTTTTTTTTTTCTAAATTGCAGAGATAATTGTCTAAACGTCTTGCTTTTACTTGCTGCCTTCTGCACGGGGGGGTTTTCTTTCTGTGTGCCGGGAGGAAAAGCTGCCCCCGAGTGCTCCAGCAGAGGTTTAGCTGTGGGTAACGGCAGTGTCCTCCTTGTCTCTCTTTTCAGGAAGAAGTTTTCTTGGAGCATCCAGATGACAGTATTTGCAATGATCATCGGGGCGTTCGTAGCTGCTAGGTGAGCTCCCGGTTTGCTCTCCCCTCTCCCGGGTCTCTGCGCGGGCCAGCCAGCAAAGTTAAGGTGAATCAGGTACCAGGGTATGTCCCAAGAAGAGAGAGAGAGGCAATGCTGACTCTCTCTTTTTTTTTTTTTTTTTTTACCCTCAGACATGCTCTCTAGTAGGAAAGAATGTTTTACCGACCCAAATCCCAGTCTCTCCTCCCACGATTAATTTTTTCTAACAACTTACTGGCTAAACAGAAGAAGGAATCTTGCGAGTGTTACACTGCACAGTTCGAGACGTTTAACTTACGTGGTGGTTTTTTTTTTTTTCCTTTCCCAGTGCTGACTTGGCATTCGATCTGGAAGGATATATTTTTATCCTTATTAACGATGCCTTAACAGCTGCAAACGGTGCCTACGTGAAACAGAAGCTGGATTCAAAGGTAAGCTGACCTTTGGCTCCGCTCCGGGCATCGCGCTTGGTTTGGCAGCTGCTCGCCGCCGCGAGGGCCGGGGGGTGAGGCCCACCCGGGGTGACCCCGTCCCGCTGCCCCCATCTCCCGTCAGGAGGGTTGGTGATGGCGCTGGGGCGCCCTCGGGGCCACCCGGAGCCGCGTCCCCGCGCCGGTCACAGCCACCCTGACAGCCGAGAAACGACCTCTTGGCTGGTGGTCACCACACAGCTCGTTGCGAGCCCATTACCTAAATCTGTTTTTTATATATAGATACATATGCACATGTATTAATACATATATTTACAAAATACATAATTTTTTTATATATATTAAAACCCCACTCTCCAACACCTCTGTCCCCGAGAATCCCACGTGGAATCAGCTCACAACACCCCGTCTTCAGTAGCAGCGTGAATAAGGTTTTCTGCTCCTGTTCGGAACCTTTAAACACAGAAATTTCTTATTTCCAGGAGCTGGGAAAATACGGCCTGCTCTATTACAATGCACTGTTCATGATCCTTCCCACCCTGACCATTGCCTACTTCACGGGAGATGCGCAGAAGGTAGGATTCCTGCCCCCAACGCCGGGGTCGTGGGTGGCACGAGCCCTTCTGGGCCGAACGGGTGGCGTTGGGACGTTTTACTGTTTGTTGTGACGCGCTTTTCTGTAACTTGGCCTTCTTACGTAAAGTGGGGAATGCTCAAACGGTGAAACTCAAGCAGTTCGTTAGCCCTAATTTGCAAACACAAACTGCACAGCGTCTGGGGGAGGAGGGCAGGGCGAAGGAAGGTAGAGTAACTACCCCAAAACCGTCAGCAGAACATAACTGTCTTATGGTTGGACTTCAAATCCGCAGACTTGCTCCATTCATGCGTTTTTGTAATGCTGGAGGAATGGGGAAGTGCGAGAGCAATAAGTGAAACCAAATATTCTATAAAACAAAGAAGTCGAGTATTTTTAGAATAAACGAGTTTCTTTAAACTCCTTTCTGTCCTTCCCTCTGACTGGGGTGGTGGTTGTGTTGAATTGTTTTTCTGAGGCTCACTTTGCCTGTGCTGCTGCCCCGTCAGGGCACGGACTGATTTATGTGTGGCTTTGTATGTGTGAAATTTATATTGTGTTATTAATTATTATTATTATTACTGCTCTTGCTTATGTGCAGTTATACTCGAGGTTGGGGGGGCTCCCTCTGTGGGCAAGTGTTGAAGGCGTTGCCCACCCAGACCCCTCTGGGTGCCAGTCCCCCCTGTCCCTCCTCCTCCAGCCGTTCCCAGGCAGGGGGAGCCTGGTGGCTCTTTTCTCATTAGGAGCTTAATTCTCTGATGCCAAACCCCAGCAAGGAGCCGCTGAGATAATGAGCTGTGATTAGCGAGGAGAAGCGATTGCGCGGGGTGAAGGTAGCTCAGCCCCTGCCCTTCATAAAGGGCGACTCAGTGGGAGATATTTGGGGATAAAGTGCTCATTTATAAGCAGGAGCTGGTGGACGGGGAGCAAAACGTTGCTCTGTGCTGCACTGTGCAGCCTCTGTTTGGCTCGCAGAGAAACATTTTTATTTTTTTTTTTTTTTCCCCCCTGAATAAACTTCTGTTTCCCCGGCTGAGCTCCTGGCAGCCGGAGGCAGACAAAGATGCGCTGTGTTGGGGCTGCTGCCAGGAAACTCCACGTTTGGAGCCTGATGAAAAACCCTCTTGTGAAGGGCGTGCAGCTGAACGTGTCTCGCGTGGGGATGGCTCCCGGGCGGGGGGGCTGCATCGTGGGGCAGGGGCTATGCTGGGGCAGGGGGGCTGCATCCAAAAGCCTCCCACTGTACTCGTGCGTGTGTCAAATCTTGTAGTTCCTGAACAAACATCAAGGATAACGATGTCTTGTCCTGTGAGAGGCAGAAATGGGCATGCTGGTGGTGGCGAGCAAAGCCCTGCAAATAATTCCTGGGGGTGAAGGGGGGAAGGACTGGCTGCGGGAGGGTCGTTTCCCCCTCCCCTGGCTCGGCATTCTGTGTTTCTGCTGGAAGGCACCGTCCCTGGCAGGGTCCCCGTGTGCTCGGCCACCCTTCTCCCTGCCGTGCCGCTGGGCGGGGAGGTGGGGGGACCAGCTATCACCCCCTTCTGTCCCCCCTCCTCGCTGCACCCGACCGGGTGAGGCTGGCGGGGGCCTCTGGAGCTCATCTGGCCCAGGGCCGTGTCCCGGTGGGTTCTGGGCATCTCCAAGGATGTGCCAGCGCTTGGTCACCCTCAGAGTGACGAGGCATCTCCTTGGGACCCTCCTGCGTGTCTGGCCCTGCCCATGGCCCCCAGCCCCGTCCCGGGGCCCCGCGGGAAGAGCCCAGCTCTGTCCTCTGGGATAGGGACGGGCGGGATCCCCCAAACCTGCCCCACTCCGGGCTGGGCAGCCCCGGCTGTCCCTGCTGCAGGAGAGCTCCTGGCCCTGGCTGGACCCCCTCCAGTCTGTCCCTGTCTCTCTGGCACTGGGGAGCCCAGCACTGTCTTATGAGGAGCAGCTGGGGGAACTGGGGGGTTCAGTCTGGAGCAGAGGAGGCTGAGGGGAGACCTCCTGGCCCTCGGCAACTCCCTGCCAGGAGGGGGCAGAGAGGGGGGATGAGTCTCTGGAGCCAAGGCCCCAGCGCCAGGCCCCGAGGGAATGGCCTCAAGCTGCCCAGGGCAGGGTCAGGCTGGCTCTGAGGAAGGATTTCTGTGCAGAAGGGGCTGTTGGGCGTTGGAATGGGCTGCCCAGGGCAGGGGGGAGTCCCCGGGATCCCTGGGGGCTGTCTCTTATACACATAGATGTGTATAAGAGACCAGCTATATACTAGCGATTCAAATAAAACTAGACCAATGAATGTACCCTCTGGAAGAATATGTGAGCTAATCATACCTAATACTCATCTACTTAACACTTTCAGCAGAACAGACACGAAGGAGAAAAGACACAATGAAAAAAAAAAATAATCAGTAAATATCACTAATTTGAATTCAGTT